CAGTTTCATGAAGTTCCAAGTTCAAATCTGTTATTCACTTCAGTACAGAGGAGTAACAGTCACACTTGCTGTATGTCACTTGCAGTGTCATTCTTAGGTATGCTGAGAAATGTGCTTGGCTTGGTGTGACCTGGTTTGATTTGTTCTCATCACTGTCACATGAAGCCAACATAGCCAGAATTCATATATTCCCCCCCAAGAAAGTGCTTTCTCTCTTGCAGAAATAAGGGGGCCTTATTCTATGCACTTCAGTTATTTTTCCAGCCAATGCTGGATTTTCCTTCTGGACTTGTTATGCCTCTAAAATTTCTGTTTCCTTTGCAACCCCAAGCCCAGAACTTTGCCAAATCAGGCATAGTAAATAACACAAGCCTGACTTTACTATGACCTCCTTCTTTTGGACATTAATCACTATTTACCTTGCATTTTCTCTTTGCTTAAATGGCTGCCCATTGTCTTGTGTCTACTGGTAATTCCGGGAGATCACAGAGAAGAGGAGAAAGCCGTCATTTTGTATTTGGGTAGATTTGCAATATGAAAACATGGCTAATCTAGCATGCTATCTTGAGGCCCCAAAATATAAGATGACAATAAGACAGGTAGTTTGGGGCTAGCCACTCATAGGACATTTTGTTGCCCACCTCAGGGGAGGTTCCTGGTCCATTACCCCTGGGTGTTAAGTGTCTGGCAGCTGGGAATCAGGTGTAATTAACTTTTGTTTTCTCTTTTGATTTGGTACAGTGCCTTAGACATACCTGGTAGGCACTTAATGAATGTTTATTAATAAGCTAACTTCCCCAGATCACATTTTTTCCTGTTTTATTTTTTTTTCTACTTTTGCTTTTAGAGATCACATTTTTATATCTGAATTATATCTATATTTTATAACTGAATTTTATATCTAAATTACCCAATTTAACACTAATATTTATATGATGCTTTGAATTGAGGTATTCACTAGCACTGAATAATATTTCATTGGCTGGGTGTATCAGTTTTTCTATTCACCCACTGAAGGACATCTTGATGCTTCCAATTTTGGCAATTATGAATGAAGCCATCATAAACAACTGTAAAAAATAAAATAAATTGAAGCAATTGCTAATTCTGGCTTTCCAAATTTTGCTTTGCATCTATGATAATCTACTACTTTGCCTTTTTTCACCTACGACAAGGAATATTATAACCACTTTTCACAATTCCTGCTGACAAATTCTCGTAAAGTGAAAATAAAATAAAGTTGCAAGTCTAAATTTTAATTTCATGAGGAACTCAAAATTTGAAACTCTCAAATCTGATAAAGCATTTGACAGCGACAGTGAATATGGTAATAATTTTTAAAACTTTTAAGTTTTGATACATTCGAACTGTTTAATGAGAAGTTTAAAATAGTACTGGTTTTCCAGGTTTTCTGAATAGCAGGTTATGTCTATATCATCATTACAATTAGTTCTGGATGAGTCTCATATCTGTTTCCGTCCTTCCCATTCCACTGACGCTTCCTTAATCAGACCCTCACCATATGCTGACTGGGCTGTTACAGTAATTCCTACTTACTTCCTCCTCAAAGTCATTGCACTGCCACTGTCAAGAGCTATCCTGTTTTAGCCTATTGCCAACACACATTTAAGTCATCTAGGGAGAGCCCTTACTCTGACTCCATGCTGGTGATGACAATTTGGTTTTCTACATATAGTGGGCTACACGGAGAGTATATTGCTCTTTGTGATGCTCACATTTCTCATTATGAATGAACATACTGACATCCTGGTTTTACCTATCAGTTTCATTTTTGGCCAATATCAATGCACCTTTCAAAGACAGTTCCACCAATAGTGTGCCAACCATGTCAGGCTTTTGATCCTATGAGACTAATGATTAGACCCTGGATGATTTTTATTTCCCCCACGTTGTAAATACCACTCTGAGATGGAGATTTGTGTGCAGGAAGTCCAGTGAGACCAGCACCTGTGATTAGGGTGGAGTTCAACTGCAAGGCATTTGCAACAGAGGCCGCAGCCAATTACATGGCGAACTCTGGAGCTGGGATGGCTCTTCAGAGTTGTCTCGCCTCCAACAAGGGGCCCCGCCTTTGTAATCCCACATTACCCAGTCACCGGATGTGGGCTGCCCCCAGAGATGAGGCATAACTTTGAGCTGGTTGGCTCCCTTGCTAAGAAGGGCACTGGCTGTGAGTAGTCAGCGGCAATAGGCCACCAGCTGGGGAAATGAATGCCCATTCCAGAAGGGGTTCTCGCAGATGTTCCAGAGAACCTCCATGTACCTGGGGGAAGCTCTCTCTGGTATTGATTGCTTGCATCACTCATTTGTATCACTCTGTGCTCGCTTATTATTATTGTTTTAGACTGAGTCCTGCCCTGTTGCCCGGGCTGGAGTAGAGTGGTGCAATCGCAGCTCACTGCGACCTCTGCCTCCCGGGCTCAAGTGATTCTCTTGCCTCAGCTTCCCGAGTAGCTGGGATTACAGGCGCCCGCCACCATGCCCAGCTAATTTTTGCATTTTCAGTAGAGACAGGGGTTTTGCCATGTTGACCAGGCTAGTCTTGAACTCCTCACCTCAAATGAGCAGCCACCTGCTTCAGCCTCCCAAAGTGCTGGGATTACAGCTGTGAGCCACTGTGCCTGGCTTTCTTTGCACTTTAGGATACATCATGAAGCTAGGATCTATGTCTCTTTATCTTTGAATCCATACCTAGCACAGTATCTGGCATGAGGAAGAGCTATACGTTTTTGTTGAATACATGTTTAAAGTTTGGTTAAATTTTATGTTTTTACTATTTTAAATGCAGGCTTTATTTCCTTATTAATTTTCTCTTAGCCACCAAAACATGTTTCTATTTCATTTCTAAGACATAAAATTTGAAACACTGACAGCTTCTATGTTATGTCAAGAAATTTGTCTACAACTCTACCTTTAATTTTGATTAGTTTTTATCACTTGTTTTATATCTAAAACAGTGATGTCCAATAGAACTCTTGGCTATGATAAAAATGTTCTGATATACTCAGTCTAGTGTGAACATTGATCTGCTCTAATTTGGCATCATGGTTGGGTGCTCTGGTAACAAGAACACAGTCCCTGGTTTAGTAGACTCAGCAGGAATGCAGAACCTGTTTGATCAGGAGCTGTGATGGATGTGACTCCTAGTGAGGAGTGTCAGATGCCAGTTCTGTAGGCATAGGACAATTTTCTCTGACTACACCACACATCCATTCCAGATATTGACTGCAAGTCAGCAGTTTCGTCAACAGCGTACGGACTGAAATTGCTTTGGCCTAGTTCAGTTCTCTATGGCCTCAAGTGTGGGATATTTATTTAATGAGACCACTGAATAACTGGAGTTTGCTTGTGGTATTTGAGTTGAAGCAAAATAAATTAGATTACATTCACCTGTTGTTATGGTTTGGCTCTGGGTCCCCACCCAAATCACATCTCAAATTGTAATCCCCAAATGTTGATGGAGGGAGGTGATTGGATCACGGGGGCAGTTTTCCTCATGTTGTTCTCATGATAGTGAGTGAGTGCTCAGGAGATCTCATAGTTTTATAAGGGATTCCTCCCCCTTCACTCTCTCTTTTCCTTCCTGCCGCCTTGTGAAGAAGGTGCTTGCTTCCCCTTCACCTTCTATCATGATTGTGAGTTTCCTAAGGGCCTCCCCAGCCACGTGAAACTGTGAGTCATTAAACCTCTTCTTTTCCTTAAATTACCCAGTCTCGGGTAGTATATAGCAGTATGAAAACAGGAAAACAGGCTGATACACCTGTCCATCCTATCTTACTTTCTGGCTCAAGGACATTTTAACTTGTTTAATCTTTATTTTTATTTCCATTTCCACAGGTCATAAATTTAATCCTAGAACTTTGCAGTTATTAAAAGAAAATCTTTCTTTCCTCTCAGATTCTAGCAAGATTGTCCAGTTGATTGGAATAGTCTTTTCATTTAAAAAAAGAAAAATAAGAAAAGAATGTAATCAGTGAGTTATCTTCAATATTGAAAAAAAAAAACAACCAAGTTTAAACCTAGAAATCTTTGAGTTTTACAAATTCTTAAAATTATATTCTAGCATCAGCAATGAGTATTGTAGTATTCATATTGAAAAAAACTAAGTTTTATCTAAGAAATATTTGCAAAAATTCATACTAGTTCAGCAATTTATTCAATGTCAGGATTTTCTGTGTTTTATTTCCTTGTGTTATGATATTTCCAGTTATATAATCTTCCTAGAGAAAGAGGAATAATCTGAATTAAGTGTGTCAAATAAATGGATGTGAATCTTTCTCTTGATATAAACACTTCACACAAAGTTATTTTCAGGAGCACCTTTGGTAATTCCCTAATTAGGTTATTGAACGATTTTTTAAAAAATCAGTACTAATGTTCTGCATTTAACTATAATATACAGACTTCTCCCCATTATTTGAATGCCAGCAATTCCAATAATGAGAACACTGTGTCTCATCCATGTGCCAAACCCATCCGGTAGTAGCTGCTATAAAAAGAGGAAGGGAGGAGCAACCAGCACCCAAGTCAAGAAGCCCCTGACTTTGTCGTATAAATTAAACAGAGTGACACGCAAATTTCAACATTTGTGTATCCTTATTGAAGCAAAAATGTCACACCTTATTTGAAATCCCTGCACATTGTCTCACTGTAATATGGAATCTGAAGGCCAATTCCGATTATATCAGGGAGCCAGGGTTGCGGATTAGCTCCAAAGAAGACCATCAAGTACAACCCCTCTCCATCTTCTTTCTTTGAAAGAAAGTCTGATTGTTTGAAATGTATTAAATCCACTTAATGGTGAATTGTTATTCCAGTCACAGAAGCTAGTAAATCTCAAAGCGGAAGAATATATACTTAGGATTTTTTAAACTCAAATAAATGTTTCATGTTGGACTGCTACATGAAATCATGAAAAATGAACTTGGAAAAAATATGAAAAATGTATGCTTCATGCTTCTAGTACATTTCAACACCAGATTTTAGTGTAATATACAGTGATGGTTACCATAACAACACAGTCATCCAGAACCTCGATTATGCATATAAGAAAACTGGCAGTGAAATAGAAAAATAACTATCTTTCTCATAGTCACCTAGTATTTCACCTTTACATCAGTTTTCTAGATTTGGGCTCTGAAAATTGCTGATCATCTATCTAAATTATAGATTCGGAGCCATTTCTCTTGATAAATCCTGGAATATTAGAACAAAAGAAGATAAATACAGTAAATGTGAGTCAGGCCCCCTTTTCTCAATGACTTAAGAATTCAACATAATTGATGAGATGGAGTTGAAGCAAACGCTGGAATTAGGGAAAGGGAGAACTCATAGTTTTGAATTAAATGATGTGAAAATGGATAATTATTTATCTAAATGATCTGAGTATTGCTTTGGAATAGAATATTACATGCACCATCCAGCATAGGAAATATTACTGTCCCTTTCAACAAAACAGCTGATGGCATTTAGTATGTTGGCACATCAGTGTGGGAACTTCGCTTATTTATTATTCTGAATGATTAGTAATAAAAATGTATGTTCACAAGCAACTTGTGATAGGTACTGAATCAAACTGAAACCATGGCCCCTTAATTTCCCTAAAAGATTTTTACACAAATAGTTTTGAGAAAAACAATGGAGAGCTGTTTCTAGTAAAGTTTCTGATTTTTCAAAACTATCGGTGAAAAATGCCACCTTTCACACAAGTGCCATGCTTATACATTTTTGGCATTAGGCAGGGAATCTGACTTGAGGTTAGAAAAAATCCAATGATGAAAATCCACCTCTCTAATAATAATGGCAAGTGTTTATGGAGTAATAACTATCAGTGACAGCTACTTTATTTAATATTATTTTACAATTTCATAACAACTCTTAAGGTAGACTCCATTTACTCTCCGTTTCAAAAAATCAAAGCTTATTATTCTCCATTTCAAAAATCAAAGTTTATTCCACTTCAAAAATGAAAGCTAAGTGACCTTAAGTAAGCTCCTCAGCGTCAAGCACTTTTCTCTGATTATTCATTTGTGGAATTTGATTGCAAAGTACCTGAAGGCAGATTCTGCATCTGTTTTCCTCCCCATTGTATGCTTACCATCCAGACTCTTGTCACCTGGTTCATACTACAAGATTAGAATATGAAACCTTTCCATACAATTTTCCAGCAATAAAGTTCTGTGCTAGCTGTATTAGCTATCTACTGCTGACTAACAAATTACCCTAAAACTTAGTGGCTCAGGACAATCAGTATTATTATTTCACAGCTTCTGTGGGTTAGGAGTTTGGGAGTAATTTTGTAATTCTGACTTAGGGTCTCTCATGAGGTTGTAGTTAGGACATTGGTGGGATTGCAGCCCTCTGAAGGTTTGATTGAGGCAGGAGGATCTGCCTCCAAGATGGTTCCAATATCTGATTGTTGATAGGAGACCTCTGTTCCTTGCCATAGGGGCCTCTCCATGAAACTGTTTAACCCTTCCCACTATATAGCAGCTGGCGTCTCTGACAGTGATTGATCTAAGAAAGAGGCCAAGGAGGAGTCTGCAGTGCCTTTTGTGTCCTAGCTTAGGGAGTCACACATCATCAGTTGCTTCTGCCACATTATATTTATTAGAAGCGAGTCGCTAACTACAGCCCACACTCACTGGGAGAGGAATAAGACTCTAACTTTTAAAGGAAGCAATATGAAAGAATTTGTGAACACAGTTTCAAGCTATCACATGAACAGACTTTGGAGTTCAGAAAATACTATAGTCATAGAAACTCAAGAACATTAAAAAAAAAAACAGTCTAATTTGACTTACCTGTAGGAGCTATCAATATGGCCACAATCAACTTGCCTGCACTAAATGTGATAAGTAATGTTAGGAAAATTTGCATCATTCAAATACTTTGAGTCCTGGTAATGTTATATGTCTGGATAATATTGAGATGAGATGCCTATTCAAATAATATTGTCTCTCTGACATATAATTACCATAGTGTAACATTTTTCTTAAAAGATCTGGTTCATAGTCAGTACCACTATTCAAAAAGACTCAAGGGTAAGACAAATTATTGAGATAGAAAAACAATGTATATATAATCTATTAATATTTGTAGATATCTCTCCTGCTTGCTTTACCAGCTTTATGGATTGTGTTGGTGCCTACAGTGCCATCTCTTAGTATTATTTTTTTTTTTTGAGATGGAGTTTTGCTCTTGTTACCCAGGCTGGAGTTCAATGGCGCGACCTTGGCTCACTGCAACCTCTGCCTGCTGGGTTCAAGCAATTCTCCTACCTCAGCCTCCCGAGTAGCTGGGACTACAGGCATGCACCACCATGCCCAGCTAATTTTTGTATTTTTAGTAGAGATGGAATTTCACCATGTTGACCAGGATGGTCTCGGTCACTTGACCTCGTGATCCACCTGCCTCGGCCTCCCAAAGTGCTGGGATTATAGGCGTGAGCCAACACGCCCAGCCATTATTCTTAAGCTTATAGCACTGTCAACCCCTGTTTTGTATTTTTCCAATCATGGAAAGCACCTCATTCAACCTTTGACATAATCCAAAGCCAGATGTAAGAGGAAAGAACCTGGATACTTTAAAAACCAAACAGCCAAACTGATTCTATTATCCGCTAATAAGAAGGTGAGAAGACAAGCATAGAGGTTAAAAAGTACCCCCCACACAAAACGAAGAATTGGTGGCTAGGATCAGATGCTCAGATTCTGGGCTTAAGGCCTGGATATCTTCTGGTTTTTAACAATGGTTTTTGTTTGTTTGAGACAGAATCTTACTGTATCGCCCAGGCTGGAGTGTAGTGGTGTGATCATGGCTTACTGCAACCTCCGCCTCCCAGGTTCAATCAATTCTTATTCCTCAGCTTCCTGAGTAGCTGGGATTACAAGTGTGCACCACCACACCTGGCTAGTTTTTGTATTTTTGGTAGAGATGGGGGGTTACCATGTTGGCCAGGCTGTTCTAGAACTCCTGACCTCAAATAATCTTCCCACCTTGGCCTCCAAAAGTGCGGGGATTACAGGTGTGAGCCACTGTGCCCAAAAGTTTTTAACAATATTTTTTAAAAACTTATTAAGGCTGGGCGCGGTGGCTGAAGCCTGTAATCCCAGCACTGTGGGAGGCCGAGGCGGGTGGATCACGAGGTCAAGAGATCGAGACCATCCTGGTCAACATGGTGAAACCCCGTCTCTACTAAAAATACAAAAAATTAGCTGGGCATGGTGGCGTGTGCCTGTAATCCCAGCGACTCAGGAGGCTGGGGCAGGAGAATTGCCTGAACCCGGGAGGCGGAGGTTGCGGTGAGCCGAGATCGCGCCATTGCACTCCAGCCTGGGTAACAAGAGCGAAACTCCGTCTCAAAAGAAAAAAAAAAAAAAAAAAAAAAAAAAAAAAACAACTTATTAAAGAAATACATGCTCACCAGAAAGTTTGAACATATAGAAAAGTAGAAAGAAGAAAACAATCACCACCCAGAATCAGCCACTTTAATGACTGGTGTATTTCCTTTACATCTCTGGTTCACATATATTTTTTATGTTGTCAGAACCACCCTGTCCACGTATTCTTGTTTATCCTGCTTCACTCACTAATAAGGAAAAACATTCCCCCAAATTATTACAGGTATTTATAGCTGTTTTTAAAGTCTATATTATGGTTTAGGGTATGGTTGTCCATGATACTGAATACCTCTCTCTTATTGAATGATTGGGGTATTTCTACTTTTAATTTATTTATTATCATTAATAGTGCTGCAGTGCACATCTTTGGGTTCAAAGCTCTTTATGAGCTTCGTGCATTTTCCTAGGCCAGTTTCTATGCAGTAGAATTACTGGTTCAAAAGTTAGGGGAAATTTTAAGTCATTGTTACATAAGGCCACAAACCATCCATGTCTTCAATAAGGTCAAATTACCTTAAATTTGAAATAATTGTATCTTCTTTCTATCCCTTTTCACTAAAACCTAAACAGATTTTTTGAATGCCTTCGTCATCTGGTGCATCAAGAGAAAAATGCACTTGCTTGAAACTACCTGCTTGATCTTTTAAAACTTGGACCTTTGTATCTGTGAACAGAATACACATTTAAATAGACATAAATTCCTGTTTTATATGTTCATGTGATACAAGGTGTTTATGAGGCAAAATGCAAATGTCAGAAACACAAGCAAGTGGGTTCAATGTCCCAAGATTTCATCCTCCTCTTCCCCTCACATTCACATCAAAGCATCTAGGGACAGGTCAGAGGCTCTGTAGGCCGATTGAGAAAAAACATCAATTTAATTGTGTTCAGTACAGCTGACGACATTGTATGATGAGAAAGAGAGAAAGACCATTTTGTGATGCATTTTCTTATCCCACCAAATTTTTTCGTTTCTTTAGAGCTGGCACAAAGGAAAAATAAAATGTGTTTATGAATCTGTAAATACTTTCAGGGAAAGATACCCAAGGTATATATTTTAAGTGAACAAACCAGATTGTAATGTAGTATACATTGCACAACTCATAATATGGGGAAGGCTTTACCTTAAGTTATGGGGATGGGGATTATTGGGGGAGGGACATCCATTTTGACTTTTTACATGTATGGTTTTAACAAACTTAAAAACTACATGTATGGCTCTTACAATAAAAAAATAAAGATTTTTAATCAGACAACATCAAAACTAAAATTCAAAGCCCATATTAATAAATGTTCATTCTTAAAAATACAGTGATTTCCCACTGCTATGACAATTTCTGCCACACTGACTTTTCTCTACCTCTGTTACATCCATCAAACAGCATGGAAAATCTACTGGAAGAGCGCAACTTGCAAATATCTTAGTTTTATTAGTGTCATTGTTGTGTAGGCCCTACTTTAAAAAGGAACAGTTTCCCTTTTTTTTTTTTTTTTTTTGAGACAGTCTCACTCTGTTACCCAGGCTGGAGTGTGGTGGCGCAATCCCAGCTCATTGCAACCTCAGCCTCCCTGGTTCAAGCAATTATCCTGCCTCACCCTCCTGAGGAGCTGGGATTACAGGCGCCCGCCACCACACCCAGCTAATTTTTGTATTTTTAGTAGAGACCGGGTTTCACACATTGGCCAGGCTGTTCTCGAACTCCTGAATTCAGGTAATGTGCTCATCTTGGCCTCCCAAAGTGCTGGGATTACAGGCATGAGCTGCCACGCGCAGCAGGAACACTTTTTCTAATGATAAAAAGCAAAGTATGTTCATTGTAGAACATGGAAAAATATAGGAAAGTATAAAGAAATGTGCAAAAGAAAGAAAACACTTTTCCATTCCTCTAGGGCTAATTGCATTTTTTCCTTTTTACTATATTTCCTATGCATGTGCATGGACATAAGATATATGTTCCTACATATATCTTCAGATATATTATTATTTTAGCAGCTGTCACTCAAAAAGAAAGCTGTCATTGTTTAGAAAAATCTTGGATTAATTAAAATGAAATTATTATTTTTGTAGGTCAAAGATGATCAAATATCAGCTTTTTCATATGGGATAAAAATGAGTCCTTATCTATAAGAATACATAAAAACGAAGAAATAGCTTAATTTTGTAGCATAAAAATTGACTAGCAAATTTGGGTCTGGAAAAGAACAGAGGAAGGTGAAGAGGGAGAACATGCCAGGTCAAAATGGCAGCCAGGTAGAGTTTTTGGAAACCATTCCCCCAGGAGAAATTGCCTGGTGCAGGGAAGCTCTTAAATATTTAGGAAGGCCTTTCTGGTGGTGATGACCTACCCACGAGAACATGCCTCTCGCAAAGGATCTCCTTCATCCCTCTTCAGAAGAGGAGAAGAGGAAACACAAGAAGAAATACCTGGTGCAGGGCCCCAATTTCTACTTCATGGATGTGAAATTCCCAGGATACTATAACCATGGTCTTTAGCCATGCACAAATGGTAGTTTTTTATGTTGGCTGCTCCACTGTCCTCTACCAGCCTACAGGAGGAAAAGCAAGGCTTACAGAAGGATTTTCTTTCAGGAGGAAGCAGCACTAAGAGCACTCTGAATCAAGATGAGTGGGAAACCATCTCAATAAACATATTTTGGAGATATATATGTATATATATAAGTTTAGGAAGATGGCATGTTTTACCTTGGTTTTAAGTAGTTAACATGATTACAATATCCCTTTTTGTAATCTTTTCAGTCTTTCAGAAAAGTCATCTATTCACACAATAGCCATGTGTGAGAAGACCTTGAGGGAAAAAAACAGTGCCTGGGTTGGATGAGAGGAGCAGAGATAAGAGATCAGCCATAGATGGGGTGACGGGGAGTTGTGATGAAGCAAGATTGTAGGGCCAGAAGTGGCCTGGAGCACTCAAGTTCCCAGGAACTTGCAGAAATGTCCAAAGGATGCTGGGTTTCACACAGAATAGGAGATGGGTTGACTGATCACATCTATCTCCAGGTGGTCTTGGCTGGAACAGGTGGGCACACTCACACAAACACACACATATGTGAAGACTATAAGCTTTTGAAGGCAGGAGTGGTTTCAAATGTGAACACTATTGAATCCCTGTATCGATTTGCTAGGGCTACATAACAAGTTATCACAATCTCGGTGGCTTAAACAACAGAAATTTATTATCTCACAGTTCTGAAGGCCAGAAGTCTGAGATGAAGTTATAAGTACACCAGTCATATTGGATTAGGGGCCCAATCTACTCCAGTATGACCTCATCTTAAATAATGTCTGCAGTTACCCTGTTGCCAAATAAGGTCACATTCTAAGGTAGTGGTGGTAAGGACTTCAGCATATAAATTTTGGGGGGACACAATTCAACCCATATCAACCCCCTTGGACATGACAGTTCCTGGCACATAGTTGACCCTCAACAAATATTTGTTCAGTGAATAAATGATACATATAAATATTCCTTAATGTGGCTGAGATTAGTTCTCTTGAGTTTTCTGGCTCATTTTCAGTAGATCATAAAAACAAAATACAGTTACAGAAAGTGAGGAGGCAGAGATATCAGCTGAAGAGACAAGCTGGCTTCTAGATCAAGTGATTATATATCCCTAGCCATGTTCCAAAGTACTGTCTAACTAGGTTAGGGCACCCATAATTGAGTATTTTCTCAGGGATGACCCAAGCTAACCAAACACACAGTACACTGGTACATATAGCAGAATCTCAACTTTTTCATTTTACAGTGAGAACTACTCCTGCCAAGTAGATCACAGTTCTCATGTCAGCTGTTACCACAATGTACTCTCTGGAAAGGCAAGAAGGAAAAGCAAGGAGAATCAATCACTTGGAACTAATAACCAGTGCCATTGATGTTTCCACTTTCTCTATAGGGATGAGTTTGCCAAGGGCTCAAAGATACCTGCCCCTTCTAGTTAGTGTTAAAGACATAATGACTCTTTTCTTTAGGCTCCCTTTTGTCAAGCTCTGTTACAAAAATATCTGTGTGGAGCAAGTAGCTTTCAATGTGTTTGGACCACCATGTTTTCCTGACCCTGACCATTCAATTTGGTCCCCTGAATTGAAATACGTGTTTCTCAACTCCTTAGTCATCAATTTCCAAACCATTGCTTTAGGTTGGTTATTTCTGTGGTCAGTTATATTGAATTCATGCTGAGGGATTATCTTATTATCTGGTATTGAGAGCGTCTGACTGTCATGCCACACAAGACTACAGAGAATGTTTTGGTGCTGGTTGTGACAACAAGGAGGTTGGGCTAAATGGTGGATGGTTCATTTGAACATGTGATTCGTCATGGATTCAATCTACATGGGCATACATTCACGTCTCAGGCAGCTATCAAACAAATTGCACACTCAATTCTGCCTAACTACTCAGAGAAATGTGACCCAATAAGTCTTGTTAGGATTTATTGATTGTTTACTCTGTGCCCAGGAAGTAACAATCCTGGTGAACAAAATGTTGCAGGAGGCACTTTCTCCTTTCAAGTACTATCACAGATTGCCTCTCCAAGAAGTAGACTTTGAGTTAGAGATTATTACAAGGACATTTGTTGGGATCAACACCTGTGAACATTTAGGGACAGAAGCAGGACTAGGCAGAGAGAGAAGTCAACCTGGAACCCAAGCACAATAACAGCCTCCAATGATGCCACAGGGCTTTGGAGTTGGAAGGGCCCTTCAAAGTTACTCTGGGTTGGAGAGATGGCCAGACCTTTACATCCCTGCATTAATCTGTCATTGAGTGTGGGTCACTTCAGGAAGGAGCTTGACCTTGGGTGAGAGGGCTGGACCGTACAGCTGAATAGTCGCTGAAGCTCGTCTCCCATTACCGCTTCCTTTATCTGGGGGTAGCAAGTTCTTCATTAAATGGTTTTATGTGTTGAATTATGTCTTCAAAAAGATAATCCAAAAGCATTAAAGTTATAACCTGTGAATGTGACTTTGTTTGGACATAGTATCTCTATAGATGAAATCGAGTTAAGATGAAGTAATCAGAGTAAGCCCTAACCTGATATGACTGGTGTCCCCCACAAAAAAGAAGAAAATGCCATGTGAAGACAGAGACACACAGGGAGGAGATGGCTATGTGAAGCACAGGCAGAGACTGAAGTGATAGGGCTGCAAACCAAGAAATGCCAACAATTGATGGTCACCACTAGAAGCTATGTACAGGCACAAAAGGATTCTACCCAGAGTATTAGAGGGAGCATAGCTCTGAGGACAACTTGACTTCAGATGTCTATCCTCCAGAACTGTGAGAGAATGAATTTGTATTGTTGTAAGCCACCTAGTCTGTGGTACTTTGTTACAGTTGCCCTAGGAGACTAAGAAGGGGGTTCTGGGTGTCAGATAACAAGAATATTCCCTCAGAATGAAATCAGTTTATAAATGAAAGATTCAACTGTAGAAATAACTTTCTGAAAGTAATAGTTTGTAAGTGGATCTGGGAGCTAACAATCTGATTGAAACTCTATGACTTTTAGATATATAATGGAAATAGATGGTATAGAATTACTATGTGCAGGGCACTGGCTGGATGAAGAACTTTATATGTTTGGCTTCACCAAGCCTGATGGAGTCGGTGTTATTATCAACATTTCATAAATGAGAAAACTGAGGACCGAGGATCAGTCATTCATCAACAACTAGGAAGTAGAGCAGCAACTGGGTGCAAACCTGAGTTTGTACTGCCCCTGAAGCCAGTGCCCTTGGCCACTGGGTGACTCTGGAGGTGCAGTAGCACCAGAACAATAAGTCTGTAATAACCACTGTGGGATGTATGACGAAGGAGAGCTGACAAAGGATCCTGGGTGAGGAAATGCATCCGGAACAAAGCAAACTTATTTCCATTACTGGAACATAGCCCAGAATACAGGTCATATGGATGGTTGGTTGGTGAGATCACTTCCAGTGCTTTTTGTGACACTGTTTTTTCCCCAGAGCTATATTAACACCATCCACTTTAAAAAAAAAAAAAAAAAAAGAAAAAGAAAAAAGTAGCATTCCTAATTCAATCTGGTGGGAACAAAGAACTCCTATGACAATGGAAATAAAAAAGATGAGAGAAAAAGAGAACAAATCAGGGTCTCATTTGCATAACTGCCTCTACCCCAGCCCCAATTGTCTCCATGCCAGACGACAGTGTGGTTTTCATACTCGGATGTCACTACACATACTGAAACCAATTTTGGTGCCAAATTACAACCACAAGCCAAAATACCTGTAAAAAAAAACTGCTTTTTATATTCTGATTCAGGTCAACATCAACTAGACACCATTTTGTTAAATTTCCATTTAAATAAAGAAAGGACCACTTCTGAATACTGTTTTTAATTAACTCAGTTCAATTTATCTCAAGTCCACACTTTTTTTTTTTTATATTGTTTTCTATGTGCTAAGACTTATTTACTATGAGTGCAGACATAATATAAAACGTTTCTACTATAAATAATCTCACACTCTAGTGGAGAAATTTATAATTATTACGAAACCTCAAAGGAACTGTTATTGATGTTACTTACAAGGTGTGATAGAAACACTAAGGAAGAACACTCAATAGCAGGGAGTAAGTGGAGGCAGTAGGGTAGAGGACTTTCCCAGTGGAGGGAACTCTAGAAGTGAGGCTTGGAGAAAGGGCAGAAATTGTCTCAGAGGGCAAAGCAAGAGAAATGGGCATTCTTAAGGATTATTGTATAAAAAGTTAAGAGGAAGAAAGAGGAGAAGAAGAGAAGGAAAGGAGAGGAGAGAAGAAAGAAGGGAAGAGAGAAGAGAAGGGAAGGGAAGGGAATACTCTAGTCATCCCAAGAAGCACTAAATAGCTCAAGTTTAGCAAAGTATGCATGGTAGAGGTTGGAAGGTAATGGAAGAGGAGATAAGTGGAGAGAAAGGCAGTGTTTTTCATGCCACGCCAAAAGGTTTGGACTTCATGCTGAAGGCAAAGGAAAGCTACCAATCTACATTTTAGAAGAATTATCACAAAGTAGGGTGAAAAGAGTAAGTTGGAAGTGGGAAGAGGCTGGAGGCTGAGAGATGCCTTGGAAAGTTCTTGAAGTAATTAAGAATCTGGAAGTCCTGGACCAAGACAGTTTTCTGAGAGAAGGAAAGAGGATGCTTTGAGAAAACAAACACAAAATCAATATTTTAGGGACAGATTATAGTTAAGAGAGGGGTGGGGAGGGACATGGATAAAGAATCAAGAATGATGAAAAGATGGACAGCTTAAAAATGAGGTGGCTCTTGTCACAGTTAACCTGCATGAGGAAGCCAATGAGTGTTTGGGGGTTAAGGGTGAAGATAGTAAATTTAATTGTTAACAAGTCCAGCTTGCAATGCCCCTAGGAATCATCAGAGGGCATGTGCCTCTATTCCAGGGAAAATCTGATATCATGTGTCC